AGGCTACCTACAGAGGTAGTGTTTTGTTCTCCAGTATTTATTGAGGTTACATTCTGTTATAGGCTACCTACAGAGATAGTGTCTTGTTCTCCAGTAATTATTGATGTTACATTCTGTTATAGGCTGCCTACAGAGGTAGTGTTTTGTTCTCTAGTATTTATTGTGGTTACATTCTGTTACAGGCTACCTACAGAGGTAGTGTTTTGTTCTCCAGTATTTATTGAGGTTACATTCTGTTATAGGCTACCTACAGAGGTAGTGTTTTGTTCTCCAGTATTTATTGAGGTTACATTCTGTTATAGGCTACCTACAGAGGTAGTGTTTTGTTCTCCAGTATTTATTGAGGTTACATTCTGTTATAGGCTACCTACAGAGGTAGTGTTTTGTTCTCCAGTATTTATTGAGGTTACATTCTGTTATAGGCTACCTACAGAGGTAGTGTTTTGTTCTCCAGTATTTATTGAGGTTACATTCTGTTATAGGCTACCTACAGAGGTAGTGTTTTGTTCTCCAGTATTTATTGAGGTTACATTCTGTTACAGGCTACCTACAGAGGTAGTGTTTTGTTCTCCAGTATTTATTGAGGTTACATTCTGTTATAGGCTACCTACAGAGGTAGTGTTTTGTTCTCCAGTATTTATTGAGGTTACATTCTGTTATAGGCTACCTACAGAGGTAGTGTTTTGTTCTCCAGTATTTATTGAGGTTACATTCTGTTATAGGCTACCTACAGAGGTAGTGTTTTGTTCTCCAGTATTTATTGAGGTTACATTCTGTTATAGGCTACCTACAGAGGTAGTGTTTTGTTCTCCAGTATTTATTGAGGTTACATTCTGTTATAGGCTACCTACAGAGGTAGTGTTTTGTTCTCCAGTATTTATTGAGGTTACATTCTGTTATAGGCTACCTACAGAGGTAGTGTTTTGTTCTCCAGTATTTATTGAGGTTACATTCTGTTATAGGCTACCTACAGAGGTAGTGTTTTGTTCTCCAGTATTTATTGAGGTTACATTCTGTTATAGGCTACCTACAGAGGTAGTGTTTTGTTCTCCAGTATTTATTGAGGTTACATTCTGTTATAGGCTACCTACAGAGGTAGTGTTTTGTTCTCCAGTATTTATTGAGGTTACATTCTGTTATAGGCTACCTACAGAGGTAGTGTTTTGTTCTCCAGTATTTATTGAGGTTACATTCTGTTATAGGCTACCTACAGAGGTAGTGTTTTGTTCTCCAGTATTTATTGAGGTTACATTCTGTTACAGGCTACCTACAGAGGTAGTGTTTTGTTCTCCAGTATTTATTGAGGTTACATTCTGTTACAGGCTACCTACAGAGGTAGTGTTTTGTTCTCCAGTATTTATTGAGGTTATATTCTGTTACAGGCTACCTACAGAGGTAGTGTTTTGTTCTCCATTCTTTATTGAGGTTACATTCTGTTATAGGCTTCCTACAGAGGTAGTGTTTTGTTCTCCAGTATTTAATGAGGTAACATTCTGTTACAGGCTACCTACAGAGGTAGTGTTTTGTTCTCTAGTATTTATTGTGGGTATATTCTGTTACAGGCTACCTACAGAGGGAGTGTTTTGTTCTCCAGTATTTATTGATGTTACATTCTGTTATAGGCTACCTACAGAGGTAGTTTCTTTTTCTCCAGTATTTATTGAGGTTATATTCTGTTATAGGCTTCCTACAGAGGTAGTGTTTTGTTCTCCACTATTTATTGAGGTTACATTCTGTTACAGGCTACCTACAGAGGTAGCGTTTTGTTCTCCAGTATTTATTGAGGTTACATTCTGTTATAACTTTCCTACAGAGGTAGTGTTTTGTTCTCCAATATTTATTGAGGTTACATTCTGTTACAGGCTACCTACAGAGGTAGCGTTTTGTTCTCCAGTATTTATTGAGGTTATATTCTGTTATAGGCTACCTACAGAGGTAGTGTTTTGTTCTCTAGTATTTATTGTGGTTACATTCTGTTATAGGCTACCTACAGAGGTAGTTTCTTTTTCTCCAGTATTTATTGAGGTTATATTCTGTTACAGGCTACCTACAGAGGTAGCGTTTTGTTCTCCAGTATTTATTGAGGTTACATTCTGTTACAGGCTACCTACAGAAGGAGGTCGTTAAGCAGAACACATCGGCCAATCGTGAAGAGCTGGAGGCACAGAACTACTCTATAGAAGACAAACGCTATGAGTAAGTAAATGTTTACAGCTTCACCATTTCACCAGCTTTGTTAATGATTTACAGGGACAAAAGATTGTTGTGGACATTTTCTTGTGAAGATGTGCTGTTGAGCATTCTTTTGGTAAAATATTGCAGGTTAGTTGTTAGATCAAACTTTCGTTGTTTAGATATTTTGGATTGATATATAACATTTAGTTTAAGTATTGGAGGCACGGTAGTCTAGTGGTAGGACGCCGGGCTCGTGACCGAAGGGTTGCGGGTTCGAGTCACGGCACGGTACTGTGTTGTATCTTTGAATAAGATACTTCACTCTGCTTGTTCCAGTCTAAGCAGCTGTAAATGAGTATGTGGTTGGGCAATGCAAGAATTGCTGAATGCTAGCTATGAGCGCTGAAATGGCAGCACAGGCTGTATGGTCCCCGGGGAGTTGAGAAATATTGAGAAATTATTGTTATCATTATTAATTATTAGACATTTCATATTTAGCACTGATGTAACAATTAAAAACAGAGTGAAACTATACGTTTACTAAAAAGATGGATGTGTAACTTTTCTTCCGTTTCAAAGTCATAAACACAATGCTTTTTTTCAAATACTAATTTACCGATTTTGATAGCTCCAACTATACACCAGTTTTATACTGTTGTAGTGATGAAGTAGACTCATTTTTAAATTATGTATCAAATTTCTCTGCCTTTCCCTTTCAGTGACATTGATGACAAGTATAGAAAGCGTGGTGAACGGTATGGAGGTGGTGGTATGTTGACGGACTTTAAGGAAAAAGACTCCTACAAGCCTGATGTTAAGTTGGAATATGTGGACAACGATGGACGTAAATTGAATGAAAAGGAGGCTTTCCGACAGTTGTCTCACAGATTCCATGGAAAGGGCTCGGGCAAGAAAAAACAGGAAAAGAGACAGAAGAAAATTGAGGAAGAGCAGGTAACAAAGAAAACAGATACTGAAGTATTCAGTCATAAATATTAATGGTTCTCTTGTCATTGAATAGAATTTTAGCTCACTTTGAAGAATAGGTGCGTTTTCATAATCATCTCGGCGTCGGTATTGTCAGATTGAAGTTTTGGAGGCGAGAACATTTAAATGTAAAAGTTAATGTACCTTACCAACAATATGAGTACTGTCACAATACATCATTCCTTTAATTTTACAATAATTGACAATCGTATCTTGCGTTTGTAAGTTTTTCTCATGTAAACTTTTACCGAGTGTAAAATCTCAACATCACAGATAACTACACCTGTAATCCACTGATTGAGCTAAAGGACAATTTCCTCTAGTCGAGTCTGTTGTGAGCAACTGGATGGTTCACCACTGTGTTGTATACTTCTGTTACTGTCAGCTTTATGTAATAAGTGAAAGAAACGATGCTAAAAGTAATACTGAAGACAAAATCTTCTACTTTATAGCATTTAGTAAGACCAGGGGGGTGGTGACCCAACGTCCCTGCCAGATAGTCAGTTCCATAGTGGCGGTAGGCCTTCTAGGGTGGAAACCTTAATGGTATTCAACAGTGCTCATCAGGGAAAAGCAAAGCAAATGAAAAAAGAACTGATGAGCAACAACACCACTGAATCCGGAACAAAATGTACCGGATCCAGTGGTGTTGTTGCTCATCATTACTACTTTCATTTTCACTTTATAACATTGCAGGAAAAGTCAAAGAAGGAGACATGTTGTAGCAAATGTAATGTTTCAATGGATGTCTGCCATCCTTTTGTTACAGTTGATGAAGACAATGAGCTCCACTGACACTCCTCTAGGCACACTGAACCTACTAAAGGAGAAACAGAGACAGGAGAAGTCGTCCTACGTAGTCCTCACCGGCAACAAGGGCTTCACATCGTACGTATACAGTGGAAGCTTGTTAATCATCAGTTAGGGTAGCGGTAGTATGCAAAACTGATCAGTCACGATTGTGGGCATTTAGTAATACTACATCTGTGTGTTAAATTAAAGCAACAAGTAAAAAAAATAAAAAGATTCAATGTATTTTGAAAGCTTGTGCAGATTATCAGGATTTGTATTTCCATGCATCCATGATCTATTCATAATCTCGTACAAAACTGTTCTATACAACATTATGAATGCATTTCCTGTGCTTTGTCAAAGCAAGGGATTTAAATCACAGAGGTTAATATTTCAAATAATATTTTTATAAGTCAATTTAAATTTTGACCAATAGTTTTAGTCTAATGCACAATTTGTATCATTTTATTTTACAGAAATTCCATTGTGAAAAACTAGGAACAAAACTGTACATCTACAATCTCTGACCTCGGAGCCAAATGGTGCAGAAGGTTTTGAGGAGGTAGATAGGAGCTGTGACTTCTGACAAATACGCGAGGAAAAGCAGTTTGACAAACGACAGTGGTTCTGAGCAGAATCCTTGGTGTCAGCTGTGCCGGTGAAAGGGAAAATTCCTCCCTTTATCCTTGGACAGAAACAGAGAGGAGAATCCTTGGTGTCAGCTGTGCCGGTGAAGGGAAAATTTCTCCCTTTATCCTCGGACAGAAACAGTGAGGAGAAAGATTTTTCTCAGGAAGAGATTCCTGACCTGATTAACTGGTGTTTAACAAAGCCAGGAATAGTGCCTGTTCCTCCATCGTCAAGTGACTGAAATGTAACGGCAGATGCTTAGGCTACACCCTTACTGGTGAATTTGTGAATAAGGCCTGTTCCTTTGGACCAAAAGCTACATTAACTGATGGTCTTGGCAAGGTCATTTAAGGCTTGCATTAATCTTCAAAGATTTGCCATGTTTTACACCTGGAAATGTGGCATCAAAAATGAGAATCATTGACTTGGTCCAGACATTAAAATGTATAAAGTTCCTTAGTGAATCTATGACATGTTATACATTAATTTGAAAAAACACATGATTTGTTCTTAAACATGGTAAGCTGGTACATGTTTATCTGTCTATCTTGGCATTAGTGATACAATGTGTTGCCGTAATAAATGGTCCCCTGAAGTCAGTTAGTTTGGAACGTTTCTGACAGTTAAATACAGATTTTGTGTAGTTTTTTTTGTTTTTTTTGTTTTGTTTTGATATACCATGCAAAAAGTTTCTGAAATGTTAACACTTACTTAAATTTCACAAGAAAAAACAATTGTCTCAAAAATATGCTTGTTTCTATAAGTAACTTGCACTTGTGTAGGAGTGCACATGCTTAATTAGGTGATCATGTACTGTATTTCTATCAGATGTGTCTTATGAATTGTAAGGCTATGTGGATAATGAAAACCAGCACGTCTCACCAGTACGTTTCTTGTAAATAACAAAGTTTATGGTTCGTAAGATTTTCCTTGGCTTAAGTAATTAATTTCCTAGTTAAGGAATAAATCTTAGTTGATATGTTTTACGAATCTGAAGCCAGGTAAAACACAATCAATATATGTCTTGATAAATAATAAAACAAGATCCCATGTGAAATGAAACATACTTCACAAGGGAAAAACCCTGCAGATTTGAATATTTTACATGTATCATCATAGAGTCATGTTTAAATGTTACATCACAATTAAAACATGTTATCAAGTTAATTGTGAGGCTGTATTTGATAGTTTCAGATATGCGGAACAACCGGTTTATTTGTTTTAACATTTTCGGGTATAAATCTGGGCGGACCTGATTACTAGGTCAGACCTTATTTTACAAACCAACAAAGTTGGTCCAACCGTTAAGATCATGATAAACAAAAGTGGCCGAGACCATGTAGATTTCATTGATAACAGATACATGTGTATTTCTATCCTGAGTATACCACCATTTGTTTTGACCATCTGATTTGAAACAGCTTGTTTTCAATAAAATATATGTACATATGTAATGTCATTTTGTTTCTTTTCTTTTGTATTAAACATTTTTAGCTCACCTGGTCTGAAGGGTGTGTTCTCCTTTCTCCCACTTTGTAGGTCACCCAAGACAATGATGGTGAAGCTGAATTAAGTATAAAAAGGCAATTTTATTTCAGAAAAAATAAATTTCTATTTGTATAAGGTAGCAGAGTTCAGTAGAAATGACTTGATCCTAAAAATAAAGGGCATGTCTCAGATAAATTCAGTTACCTGCACAACATACCTACATATATATATACTGTATATATATTTATAAACTACATTTTGATAACATTTTGTTTAGAAGACTGATTTTTTTTCAAAAAACGTTTTCCCAAGATTTGGGACTTATGAGAATCATGGTTACATCATCCAAAAATGCAAAAAAAAATGCAAAAAAACAAGATTTTTAACCCAAATTTGACCCCTGAAAGTAGTGATTTTTTTCTTAAAACCTGTCAGAAACATTTACGCATGTGCTGAGTACCAAAATAGACTACATGAAAAGCTAGCTTTTGTTGTGCAGACACAGATTTGTAAATGCCCAAAACTGTAGTGTCAAACCAAATTTGAATATTTTTTTAAAAAATTATGAAGCCCACATCGGTAGTCCACTTCATCAAGTATATGCCAATTTTAGTGCTGATTTAAAAAAAAAAAAATACATTTAATATTGCAGTGGTTATTCATTGTATAAAAATATCACTGCTACCTTTGAGCTGATAAGCAAAGTCAGTTAAACACTTATGATTAGAGAGCTTAGGGCTATGACAGTTATATTATATCAATAATACCTGTTTTGTAAGGAATCGGTGCTGTCAACACTGGAACTAGACTCTGGTACGAGATTCCTTCTGTAGTTACTGGGTGTTCTATTCCTTTATCAGTCGTGAATGGCTGAATGTTGTGTTTTCTTCCTCAGTTTGGTAGTCATAGCCTCTGTGGTCTTTCTTGGATTGACGTCCTCTATCTAGTGTTACTTGTAGTCCTAATTCTCTGTAGTTGTGGCTTGTGGTTCCGTCTGCCGTGGTCTTATTTACAGTTCTCTGCTGAATTTGTTTTTGTCCTCAGTGGCCTGTTTTGGTTGGTAGTTTTACGTTATTTCTTATAGTTTGTGATTTGGTGGACACATTAGTTGAGGTCCGTGGTAGGAGGTGGGCCAATGCTCAACTCTCATGTTTTGCTTCTATGTACAAGGACATCTTGGGATGTCGGAGTGCCAAGTGCAACAGGTAGGTAGGTCACTGTGACCTATGATTTGACCTCTAACCTTACCTTTTGAAAGAAATTGTCCTAGGCATATTTTCTATAATATTTTACGTAGAGTAACCAGATCTGGCATTCAAGGCCATCTTAATATGACTAAGTGTAGAATGCATAGAGAAGGTCACTGTGACCTAAGACTTGACCTTTGACCTATACTTGTGAAGGTTCAGGGCAAATCTTCTCACCTGGACTAATCAGATTTGATGGACAAGGACATCTTGGGAAGGTGGAGTGCTGAGTTCAGAGTGAAAGAATTAGGTCACGGTTACCAAAGACTTAACCTTTGACCTTAACTTTTGAAAAACTTTGCCTTGGGCACGTCTTTTTTACTTTTTCACCAAGAGTAACCAAATAATGTGTACAAGAGCATCGAGTACAGCCTATCGAGGTATGTTGGCAGCAACAACTCCTCTGCATCCACTCCCAGTATCTGCAATACATTATTCTGACAGAGTTAAATGATTTTGAAAGATTTGTAACAGTATCGTTTCACCAAACCAATTTTTGGTAAAATCGGCGATACTTTACCGCCGCGATAAAAACGCTTCCTTCAGACTTTTGTCACCAGGCCCGCGTACTGTTCAATACAAAGCACTTATGCTTGTAATGACAGTAAACCTGTTGTAGCAGAAGGACAGGCAATGGTCAGAAATAAGAATCAAAGTCGGCCTATCCAAACACTATACCTCTCCTGTCAATCAAATTATAAACACTGTTGATCAGTCAAGTCCATTCGTCCCACATTCAACTCAAGTTTTACAAATCTTTAGAGAAAGAAAACCCTGCATCATCAATTACAATATCATTCTCGCCACATGCGAGTGCACGTATATGTCATGATCAAATCTGCATTTGATGCAACCTGACATGCAAACATCTTTAGAGAAGGAATAGTTGTAAAAGAATAGCGGACATTTTCTTCATAAAGGTATTTGTAAGCTGGCGTGGATCAGATTACAATGAAAGAAGATGACGAGAAAATAATACATATTAACTAGCACATAAATTTTAACAAGCGCGTAGGTCATATTTCAGGTTGTTTTTTTCTCTGGTATTTCTTTCCAATACTAGCATGAATACATGGTATATATTGGTTGTTGGGTGTATTTTTCGTGACTGTAACACAATCATCGCAAGAGGTATTCATTGCATTTCGTTGCTAACCCCCCACCGAATTTTGTTCCGTGATCACATGAAATAACAGTTCATGTCGATATAAAGTATACAAGATCGATTTATAATTCTTTTTCCGGTCATGCTTTAGCTCAAGTGACCTATTGCTATCCGTTTTCGTCCGTCGTCGTCCGTCGTCCGTCGTCCGTTAACATTTTACATTTCAAACTTAAAGTCAAGTTCTGCTGGGCCGATTGAACTGAAAGTTGGTAGGAATGATCGCCTCATGGTCCTGACAAAGTGTTGTTATTTTTCGGGTCGATCAGAAATCCAATATGGCCGCCACGGCCGCCATTTTGAAAACCTATTTCAAACTTAAAGTCAAGTTCTGCTGGACCGATTGAACTGAAAGTTGGTAGGAATGATCGCCTCATGGTCCTGACAAAGTGTTGTTATTTTTCGGGTCGATCAGAAATCCAATATGGCCGCCACGGCCGCCATTTTGAAAACCTATTTCAAACTTAAAGTCAAGTTCTGCTGGACCGATTGAACTTAAACTTTGTAGGAATGATCGACTCATGGTCCTGACAAAGTGTTGTTATTTTTCGGGTCAATCAGAAATACAATTTGGCTGCCATAGCCGCTATTTTGCTACTAAATTCTAATAGGCCGATCTCACTTAAAATTGGTCTAGGAATGATCAGCTCATGGTCCTGACAAAGTTAAGTTAACATTTTACTATTTTTTACTCAAATTGGTACATATTTCAACAACAAAAATAAATACTGTAGACTCAGGTGACCGTTAAGGCCCATGGGCCTCTTGTTACACATGTGCCCATGTCTGGGAAAAAGTTACCATATAGATATAAATACCAGGCCCCGGATTAATTAGTAACCTATGAAACATATCACTTAAGTTTCTAACAGATTTTAATTATTCTGTTATTTAAATGTCGATAACTGCAAATTTATTTACATTTTTTTTTTCGAACATCAATGAGAATTGTCACACTGCAAGAATCTTGATTTAGCATTACAAATATGAATAGCATACAGTGATCTAGTATTTAGCGCTACGCCTACGACAATTAAAACAAGGATATAAGTGAAACTTGTCTAGTTCGACACCCTGTGGGATTCAATAATATATGGAAGAATACACGGGTTTCATTTGGTAGTTTTCATAAGAACAAGCAAATTCTTGGAATTCATATTCCCCGTTTTCAGAACATGTTTTAGATGAAGTGTTATTGTTGAGAGTTTCTTGAAAAATCCTTTGCTAGTATGGAGAATTAAGAGCAGACAGGTATTTTAAAAATAGGACATGTTTTGATTTTTTGTCTTTGTGTGTCTATTGAAAAAGAAAGATGAGAAACATGATGCGGGGAATCATTAAAAATTACAGACATGGAGTGTGTAAGATTTAACTCACAGGTGATAAGTCACTATTTTCATTGGAGAAGTTCTAGTATACAACAATTTCATTGGATAGCATAATATAAAATATAGATTTGACAGATTGATATCCTAAGCTTCACTAGTCTAAGAATAAGACCAGGTGCGGTTATTTGTCCTCATCTATTTGATATCTAGAAATCAATTACAAGAGAGACGTTAAGGGTCTCTGAAAACATCATAGTCTGTATAGGGGTTGCTTCCCTTGCTCTATTCCCAATCATTATAAACAATCATATAATCAGCTATAATGTATAAGAGTAATTTTAAAATTATGTATAAATATGCAAGGATTACATTGACCAGCTAACTTAGTCGTAAACATGTTAATATGTATGTGCACGCCAAATTTTGGTTGAGAGAGGATCATTATCAGAACATTTATTGCACGGAAACCAATTAGCCAATCAGAATGTGTAAGTGTGATTAATTAAGCATAAAAATATGCTAGGATCACATTGACGAGCGAACTAAGTCTTATTTTTTTTTAAATGTATGTGAACACCAAATTTTGTTGAAATCAGACCATCGTTAGTGTAGATCTTTCGATCCATGTGCGACATGTGTGTGAAAGTGACGATTTGTTTCTAAAATATCAGTTTGAAGTGCGCTCCGGGCGCGGGTCGCATATTTCCCGCATATTATAGAGGTCCGGAGTTCTGACGTTAATCGACGACGGACCGATATGAAAAAAGTCGATAAAACGTCAGAATAATTCGGACTATATTGGCAGGTATAGGACTTTAACTGTTTAAGATAAAAAACAAAGTTAAAAACAAAACAAAACATTAATGAGGATGAATTAATTTAATTAACTTATAATTTAATATATATATCACATACACAGAAAAGCTACAAAGCACACAGCTATGTGCACTTACCTGTGTGACCTGTGGGGTTAGTGAAAACTGACTATAATTGGTTTGCTATTGTCCTCCTATTGCAACAATTTTCTTTGTGGGTACTCCACTTACAATTTTCATCCAAAATTACTTTCAGGTGCCTATGATTGTCAACAAAATAAACGCTGACATTATTAGTTTGTAAACCGATATCATACTTGAGTCCAAAGTTAGAGATAAGTAAAGCTTTCGTTTTTGCAGGGTTGCATTTTACCAGCCATTTATCCGCCCCATTTTTTCCCAGGT